TATTTCCGTTTCTATGACTCAAATTATGCCAGACTACCAACTTTTGTAAAAATCGCAAGAGTAGATTTTCAAAGAATTAGCTCTCAAAATTTTAGCATATCAATGTTAATTGAATTTGGTATATATTTATTAATATCTCATTTTTTATTTTTCCTTTCACATTTCGAAATTTAGGTTCATTCCAAATAAAATTCACCCATTTCTTATGATTTATTTTTAAAATTTTATTTTTAAATAATTTTATATAATTTTTCGAAAAAATATAACCCTAATTATAACCTATGAAATTTGTACCATCATCTTAAGGAGTGATTCCTAATAATACCTGCGAAAATTATACTTTTTTATTCAAATTTTTCTAAGATATACCACTTCCATATTTGCGCGGTTGAATTTGGCATCTTTTTTTTGAAGATAATACCTAATGTCGTTTATGATTTTGTTTACAGTGAAATTGCCACGCTTTTTTAATCTTTAATTTCAAAATAAATTTTACGGAGAATTATCGTGAAATGTTTTTCCCTCATGATGCGTATAAATATTTATTATACTATATGGTGTTTGGTGTATTTAATTATGTAAAAAACACACTAGTGGCTATCCTAGAAGGGATGCCTCGTGGAGGACTTTCTAGGGAACTGGCTCGTATACCGTTCATGGGGAAAACACGAAATCGACCATGCGCCAGCCCGTCGCGGGATTCGAACCTCGGACGACTACCAGTTGTCAGCGACTTTACGAGTATTACTAATGAGCTGTTTTTTTAATTATAGATATATTCAAATTTTTAATTTTTTAAAATTCTTCTTTTTTCTTTTTTTTTTTTTTTTTTTAATATTTGTAGATAAAATTTTTACCTTCGCCGTGTTATCTCCGCTACTTACTTTAACTTCATTTAAATTGAATTGCCTAAAACTGAGAAAAGTTAGTTTGATATTTATTTTTACAATGTTTTTAAGCAAATAAGATGTTGACACTTTGGGTCATGTCACAGCTTTAAACATAAATTTTTACATTAATCATCTTATAAAGAATGTTTTAAGTAGTAATTTTCTCTCTTGTTGTAGATTATATAAAAACATCTTTTTAATATAGAAATTTTTAGGCTTAAAAACTCTAAATAATATGATTAAGATTTTTTTATAAAAATTGGGTCACTTGGGGGTACAGAATAAGCGCTGCTCGAGTGGTTTATTTCTTTCTCATTTAACAAAAGTATTTTAATTCAGAAATTTATCCTTTGGACGTTGCTTTAAACTTTATTTATAGTTAAATTGTCTGGAAGCTGTCTTCAGTTAAAACGCATTTAATGCAACTGATAATTTTAAAAAACTTTACAAGAATGTAAAATTTATGGAATTAATTTAAAATAATACAAAATATAATATAAACCATTCGTTTGAAAGAAAGAACGATGTGACTTTTTCCTCTCACACACACAATGTAAAAGGGAAAAGGAAAATAGGTCCCTATATTAAAAGTGTCGCCAAGTGAACTATTTCTTGTCGCAAACTAAAAAAAAAAGAAAAATAAAAAAAAAAAAAAAAATAAAAAAATGAAAATACTATATAATATATATATATATTATGATATTTTTTTATTTTTTTTTTCATATATATATATATATATATATATATATGAATTTCTCCGTAAACTTCCGCGCACCAATTTTACGAAATTTAATATGTAGGCATAATTTGAGTCTTAGAATCGAAATACATAAAAAAATGGGTATGTTATTTCAGAAAAACTCAGATTTTGTGTCAAAAGACCATTTCTTTAGTAAATAAATTATTATGTTAGAATAGTGGTATATATAAATTTAATATATATCCTAAGTTGCGCTTTCGAGACATGAAAAACGCAATTTGAATTTTGTCAATCGTCCCGGTAGAACGGGAGATATAGAAATGTCCTTTTTTTTTTCCGCAGTGTATGTGATCCAGAATGGAGACAAATTATACAGGTCGCGAAAAGTTTTAAAGCGTTTTTTTTTATATATATTCCTAAACAATTTAATAATATTAGCATGCACATTTTTTGGATTATTAATTACATATATATATACTTATAATTGCGAATTAAATTACCATTCTGAGAAGATTTTATTGATTATATCTATCTGTTTATTAAATTTCATTACTACATTATTTTCATCTAGCAGTTTCTTTCCTTTCCTTTCGAAATAAATACATGTAAGTTATGAGACTGAAACGTTTCGGAAACACCGTTATAAACAAATAATCAGAACCAGTTAAGAGTTAAACAGCATTAATTAGTACTAATTGTTTATGAAAAGTATCCTAGTTGTTCTACGTAATCATCTTAAGAAAAAGGAGATTTTGCGTGGTTATTTAATTGAATACGGCAAAGCATATGAAGGCTGGCTGAAAAAGGCATGCTTTCGTGAAGAATTTTTTAGAGAAAATAGGCTTCTATTTATATTACACATAAGGAAAACCACGAAAATGCCTACACACAGTACTAGACTGTAGGCGAGCTCGAGCAGTTCATTTGTTAAACTTGCATGCAATTCTCAAATTCCCCCCCCCTTTTTTCCCCTAGTTTATTTAAGGAATGAAAAATACATGTTACTCACTGAACTTCGTACAGTAGGCTGAACATCGATGAACTATATTTCTGTGACAAGGAGAGCTTTCTGACTGTACAATCTATTTTACATCTAGCGATGTTTGGCCGAATACATTTATTCGCTTGTTCTATGAAGTTTATGCAGTATTTTTGTAATGCTGATACTTTCATAAGTAAAATAAAATTATTGTATTTTTTTAATATTCTTGTTTTTCACATATTGCAGACTCTGCTTTCAAGAAGTGACATTTAATTAGATTCTGATACTTTGTTTTCATAAGATAAGGTAAGAGCCCTTTATATCACTGCAACTAGCCCGTTCACACGGTTTCAAATTGGGAATGAATTACGAAGTTGATCATTCCATCTATTCGTCTTATCGACATGAAAATGGTAAGTCTGAGTAAAGAGGAAAATATCTTTCTTAAATATGAGATGATAAACACGTTTCTAAATAATAATTTCAAAATATAATTTTGTGCTGTTTGAAACTGCTTTTAAAAGATTTATTAATCATAAATTTAAATATGTATAGTGAAAATCACAAAGGGAATAACATATATGTATCTGTAATTACTAAACTAAGTATTTCTTATGTATGCAATAATACTTCAAAAAATATTTAAATAGGATACTTAAAAATGCTTTTCCTTCAAATAAATATTAGATTTACTGACTATCAGCTTCTTATCGACTGCGGCATCTATTCTCATCAACAAATGATAACATCCTGGGTACATGCATACATATATACACATATAGACACACGCACACATGTAACATGCGCATTTATTCATAAATTCCTAATTAAAATGAATTAAATGTTTACACGGTATTGGAAAATTAACCGTAAAGCGGCCACCTGCAATGTATTTGTAATTTTAAAAACGGTATTTATTCATGAAAAGGTTTGAAGTCATTTTAGTTCAGACTATTTCTCACATATTCAGACACTGCGTATTCATATAACATGGCATTCGAAATACAAAACTCAACATTTACGATCATATTCATTGAGGAAAACAAATATTGACTTTCTACCCCTATGTCTTTAGAGTGATAGTTATCTTTTAATAAATTCATTTTCATAATGCAAAATGACATTCATTCAAACAATTCAATTTTTCTATATTGTCCTGTCCATAAACCGAATGCATAGAAGTTAGGTATTTAAACGGCCCCCACATTTTTCCACCTCTCCGAACCGCACAGTCCCCTCTGTTTCTAGCATCTGCGTGTTTTTTTTTCCTTATAATTTACGACTGGGCCGCAAATGATCAACATTCATATATATATTCTATTACATTCTTCGCTCTTTCAGATTTAAATCAAATACAAATAAAAAGACTTAAATAATATAAAAACACTTCGTTTTAAGAAATCTTCTTAAATGCTCATGTGCATTAACAAGACAATGATTTTTCTATTGGCAATCTGATTTCGAGAAAGCGAAAGCATTCACCGTCGACAATGAAATGGCCACCTTCTCTTCTGAGTTTGGACAAAATGTCCGAAGACAGGAATAAATGTTGGAATTACCAATACAGAGTATGAGAAAGATGGCATCGCAATCAAATTAATGCCTTGTAAATAAATGCTTGATCCAAAAAATTCTCATTGCTTTGGAAAATCTCATTACCATTTTGCATTAAAAAAAATGACTTTTAAAGCTGACAACATAAACTGCAGCTGCAGTTTCAAATGATATATCACTTGTAATAATATAAAAGTCATCCACTGAAAACGTTTGTCATTATTAATCTCTTTTGGAATTATCACAGTTTTTTAAAACTGATGGCGCTACTTTTGCATCACCCGGTATTTTTATACAAAATCGAAATTTCTGATGAATACAAGATTATTATTGTGAATGTTATCATCATTATTTAAAACATTTTTGTGTGCAATGCTCTTCAAGCATGGAAAGCAAATAAGGAATCATGCTTAAAAAATAAATGTTTGTTTCATTTAGAAATATGGATAGTTAATTTCCATTTACACAGGAATGCTCGAGTAAAAGTGCTTTATATTTCCATCATGTAAATCTTTAGGAACCTCTCACTTCTTGTTCTACGCTGCTAAAGAGAGACTGTAAAAAACAAGCACTTCTTGAATCGAACCCCTACACGGGCTCGATTCAAGAAGTGCGGGTGAAATTCATTAGCTGATTTTTGTGAAACTCACTTAACTGAAAGAATTAAAAAGACTTCGAGAGCAGTCTGAGTATTTCAATGTTACGCATGGATTTTAAAAGGTGCAAAATGTTTTCATGGCGTACGAAGACAGATTCCTCTTCAGAAATAAACTTTCTGAGCTGTAGTTTATTTCAATTTATTACAGTTATTTGTAAAACTTTTAATTCCAAATTTACTTTTTTTTAATATGGTCCTTTTCCGAATATTTTTCAGGAATTCATGTTTCAAGAGAAATCATCATCATCTGGAAGCATATCAAAAAGTTGCAATTCATATGCTTTAGTCTTATTATCTGTATTTGTTATGTTAGTTTTTAATATTGTGTAATAAAGCGTAAATAATTTTTAATTTTGATTGA